GGGGGTAGAAAGGGGAAAGAGAGGGGGGTCGTACGTTGGAAAAGAGCAATTTGCCATGCTGTGAGTACAGCACCGTGGGGCGGTCGGACGCGGCAAACACGTGCATGACGTCTTTGGACCGGAACGCGCTCAATAGGATGGGCTGGGCGCCCAAACTGAACTTTTTCTTGTTTGTCAACGAAGATGACGTGGCGCCACCAGCGGTATCTAACGCGTACGTGTACAACGAACCGTCGCCCATGCCCACCAACACGTACGGCTGGTCGTCGAAACGGATGGACAGGAGCGATCGGGGCAGCACATCGCCACCCAAAAGCACCGTCGTGTCCAGGCGCAGGTCCGGCAGGCGGTAGATGGACACGGACAGGTCGGACCACAACCCGACGACGCATCGGGTCGTCGACCGTGCGCGGGTCTCCCAGTGCGCGTCGTCGTCGGCGGCGGCGGGTTTCGAGTCGACCAGCGGCGTGATGTCGAGGCATGCAATCTCATGCGGAAGTTTCGTCTGCGCCGTCGCGACGAGGGTGGTGCTGAGGACGACGTTTGAAATGTCAAAGTACACGAGCACGCCGCCCGACAAGGCGACCACCACCTGCGTCGGGTTGGCGGCGGCCACGGTGATGCGCTGCGCCGACGGCGGGCTCCAGCTGGCCACACGTTGCAGCGTCGCAGCAGACACTAGCCCAACTTGGTGCTCGGTGACCTGGAGCCAGAGATCCCCCACCACGTTGCGGCAGATCAGTGTCTTTGTGTTAGCTAGGCCAGGTACGTCCTGCTCGGCTAGCTCGACCTCGTCGTTGTCTGAAGTTGCAAACCCCAGTACGCGCACTTCGTTCACAAAGCTCTGCACAAGCAGCGTGTCCTGTTGGCTCGCAAACGTCGGGCGTAGCGGCCACATGCCCTTGATGCCAGGAAGCTCGGCCGCGGCGAGCTCGTTGATGCCGATGCCGTTGCGGACGATGCGAAGCGACCCGTCCTTGTACGCGCCGCTGCATGTAACAACCTGGCCCTGGCCTTGGCGGTCTAAATCCATCACGACAAAGTCCACAATCGGCCCCACGTTTACGTAGCTGTCGAGCACTTCCAGGTAAGTTCCCGTCGACACATCGCGCGACGGGTGGAGCTTGACCAATTGCGAGTCGCCAAACGCACTCCCGACAAACAATACCTACGCGAAAACAGATATCATGATGCGATCGAAGATGGTGTTCGTATAGGTACCCCATTGTCCAAGTATGACAGCGTCGACGCGATCGAGGTTTCGCCCAATACATCGAGGGAGAGGCCAGTCACGTCCTTGCCCGTGTGCTGGAGCACGACCACTTGGAGCAACCCAAACTGATCTGCCAGCAGGAAGCGCGACCCGTCCACTTGACCGTACACTTGAATGACTGTGCTTTGCATAGGGATGGCGTGACATGTGCTGCCGTTGTGGTATACGATCATTTGCTGGCTCACAATGAGCACCCCGCCAAAGGGCGTCGGCACCGGGATCAGGAGCGACGCGCCGGCTTCCACGTGGCTTTGGCTCCATGGACCGTCGGCGAACTCTTTCTCCTTGGTCAAGATCACATACGTCTTGACATGGCGCGCGGCGCGGTGGTCCTCGTACAGCACGCAAATCGTGGGCTTGGAACACCCGTAGAGGAACTTGACGTCGATCACGCGCAGTTCGTCCAGTCGGATGTTGAACGTGTCCGACAGCTTGCCGTGGCCGTCCATGGGAATGACTTTGAAGTACCCTGTGAATAGTCGGATTGTTAGCAAACATGTGATAAATATGACGAGGATAGGTCGGTCGGTACCTTCGTAGAGGTTCATGCCAAGGAGGCGGCCCTCGGGGTCGATGTTGCCGCCCGTGATGACTTCACTCATGCGTCCAACGCTGTCGCGGATGTTGCCATGCGCCTTGGTCACGACTGTTTTCGTCGCTTTGTTATACTCCAACACGCAAAATTGGTATCTAACGACGGATACGTATGAAATCGTAATGATCTCGGATATCACGTTGATACCTCTGCGTGCACAAGAAGAGGAGATCGACCGAGGACGATGGTGGTCGGAACAGCTCCAAGATCGTAATGCGACCGTAGATCGCCACATCATGCAGCGGCGTCAATCCTTCCGCCGTGAGAAGGTGGATTTCCACCCGCGTGCCCTTCCCCAGGATCAAGTTGGTGTCTCCGCTGCCCGTGAAGTTCCCCACGCAGGAATGTGTGACGCTTGTGGGCTTCTGCGCCGTCACGACGTAGTTCTTGCAGTCATCCATGGCCTTCTCCAAATGATCAACCGCCAATTTGCCACACAGGATAGATACTCATGTGCAACGTTATCCGGAAAGGCCTCTCAAACTGTATAGCCAATCAAAGGCTCGCAACACAGTTTATTTGCTATTTTAGCCAATCAAAAACAATTCAATGGTCATTCCATCATGCGGAGTTACCGGGGCCATACATATATCACTTCATACGCAGTGCTCCCTATAACTACAACGCTATCCTATCTATCGTTGCCTTTGTTTATCCTCTAACGTCGTTGTACGGGACGAGATTCATCGTCAAACACTCTGGAGTAAATTGAGAATTTGATTGGTCCAAATACACTCATTTTTGGCCAATCCGGTACTGATTTGTCATTCACCAAAATGGCATTTTCAGATTTGAACAGCAGCGCTGCTGGTGATGTGGTCGATCCTCGCTGCGGCGTCGGCGGTTGGTTATGGAGCTGTTGTTGTCCTCATTGGTGCTGTGAAGAACCATTTACCAGCCAAGCTGTCCGGCAAGGACCTGTGCAAGAAAGGCACCCCAGCAGGTGAAATTCCAATGTACTGCCTCCTATGCATCCACCTGGACAACATCACCATCCTCACCGACGACGTAGTCCCGAAGCATTGGGTATTGTATCTGGCGCTGTGTTTGTCGCCGTCCTAGCGGTGCTTAGTTTCTTCGTTGAGTTCAATCAAGCAAGCATGCGATGGGGCATCGTCTCCATTGCGGCCATGATTGCGTTGGGGTATGTACCTACTCGTACCACAGATTCCATCGACACGTCGACTGACCCATCCATTATTCTTTTTCAGGTTCTGTGACGATCTTCTTGATTTGAAATGGCGACACAAACTTCTCTTCCCTCCGCTCGCGACGATCCCCGTGTTGTTGCACTACTCAGGTGTCACGGCCGTGGTCATGCCTTCGTTCGTGCGCGGCGTCATTGGCGAAGGCGGCGCGTTGCATCCTCTTCTATCGCTCGTCTTCCACGTGTCCGAGCACGGGGACATCGTCGACCTGGGGTACGTGTACTACGTGTACATGGGGATGATGGCAGTGTTTTGCACGAACGCGATCAACATCTACGCCGGGTGCAACGGGCTCGAGGCTGGCCAGGTGCGCGCGTCTCCCTCGAGCGTTCCATCTCTCACGTGTGTGTCTAGTCGTTCGTGATCGGACTGGCCGTAGTGGCCCTCAACTTGACCCAGGTGCTCCGGGGTCATGACGGCCTCCACTACCACTTATTTTCGCTCGTGATCATGATTCCGTTCCTCGTAACCACCCTCGGCCTGCTCCACCACAACTGGTACGAAGCATCGCTTGACTGTGAAATCACGCCAGGATGGATTACGTACTAGGTATCCGTCCAGAGTGTTTGTCGGAGACACATTCTGCTACTACGCCGGCATGACGTTTGCCGTCGCGGGCATCCTCGGCCACTTCTCCAAGACCCTCTTGCTGTTCTTTGCCCCTCAGATCCTCAACTTTATCTACTCGATCCCGCAACTGTTCAAGATCGTGCCATGTCCTCGCCATCGATTGCCCAAGTTTAACCCGAAAACGGGCAACTTGGAACCGTCTACGGTAGGTTTTGCACATCCCCCCACGACTGGACATGACCCATTCCTGGTGTACGTAGATCGCGCCCGATTCGACGCGCGCCAACCTCACCATGCTCAACTTGTTCCTCGTTCTGTTTGGTCCGATGCCTGAGAAGCGCCTCGTCCAGCTGCTTTTGGCGTTCCAAGTCGTGTCGTGCGTGGCCGCGTTCGGTGTGCGCTACGGCCTCAGCAGCGTCTTTTACGACGTCGTGCATTGATAACTACAAAAGTCGGGTATGATTGTCAAGTCGATTTGAAATCGCAGTGTCGAATGACCAGGAAGACAATCGATTGACCAATCAAAACCCAGGGCACTAATCACGTGGCCAATCAAATCCACTCTTCGATGAATTCAACATCGAATTAGTGTGTGACAGAAATTAACTGAAAGTAGTAGTGTCATACTGGACGATCTTTGTATGCCAAAGTCAGTAACACAAAAGCATCCATCGATAGATTTGGCGAATCTACACAAACATCCATATTTTGGGTAAAAGGACAATATTATCGTCTAGTCGATATCGGCAGACAATCGATTGACCAATCAAAACACAGAACACTAATCATGTGGCCAATCAAATCGACTCTTCACCAATTTAACATCGAATTAACGTGTGTGACTGAAATTAGTGTGACACTGGACGATCTTTACCAAAGTTAGTACAAACACTCGATCGATCGATTTGGCGAATCCGCACAACTGTCCAAATTTAAAGTAAAAGGAAGACCATACTATTACATGATTAGTCGGTGTCTTGCCGACACGTTTCGTACACCAAAAACGACACGACGGACGCCGGCAACGCCTTGACGATGTTGGGCGCGAGCCCGCGGTAAAAGCTGATCGCGCCGCCGCCGCTTGCAGTCTGCTTGATGCAATTCCACGTCGACGTGTACCTACGACACGGCCCCCTTAGTGGTTTTCGTTGTGGCTAGATTTCGATTTCGTACGTTGGAAACACGTGGGGGGCCAGCCAGTTGCCGTGCATTTGCATCTTACGGCGCACTAAATCCAACGGATACGTGGCCACTTGCGCTGTCACAGACGCTCCCAAGGCACATGCAATTTGCCCAACCATCACCGAACCCTGATGATGATCTTCGCAGCTACCGCCGACGACCCATTAGTGATATGATTAGTATTTATATGATTTCTCAGTGTAGTAGGTCGAGTTTGCTTTGATCTATCAAAAGACTCTACTATGTAGTACTACACTGTAGTATAGATAAGACCCATTTACGTACTCGGACACGCGGTGCTGCTGCTGCACGACGAGCCATGGGCGCAAAAACTCGTACATGGCAAAGTTGAGGCCAATGTACGGAAACACGCCGAGGGTGCCGACGCCAAACCCTCGATAGAAGGACCGAACGCCGTCCTGGTGGAGCTAGGTCGATTCGTAAGTGCTTGTATCGAGGAAATCCCTATCGATAGCACAATACCATGGCTTGGACACAGGACGCCACCGTGGGGTACGTGGCCTTGGGCTGGAGGATCTGCTGCAGCGCCAATCGACCCCGCACGACGTCCAGCGGGTACAGCACAGCCTGCACCATTACGCCGGCACTTCCCCCCGCCAGGGCGTTTTTCACTTCGGCGTTGAAGCCTTGGAGATATATTCACAAACATAATGTCAATCATATATATATATATGAATGGAAATCAAATGTCCATAACTAGACATACCCCACGCGTGAAAGTGCTGGCGAAACACATCGCACGCCACCAACTTGAGCGGAAACGACGGCACGAGCTTGGCGCAGTGCACCAAGTTACCCGCAAACAGTCCTATCTCCGCATATATGTTATATGGAGATAGATTATCATTGCCAAGTAGTCGATTCGAAATTGGAGTGGTATTAATATTTGGTATTTGGTTGCTCAATCGAATGACCAGAAGAACCAAATCGACAGACAATCGATATACGACCAATCAAAACCCACAACACGATTCAAGTAGCCAATCAAATCCACTCTTCGACCCAATTCAACACCGACTTTACATACAAAAGTCAGTACAAACAATCGATCGATAGATTTGAATCCGCACAAAAGTAGTCCAAATATTGGGTAAAAGGACAAGTTAACTGGGTCTTACGTTGCCAGCCAGCGACGCGCTTCAAGTGCTGGACACTGCGCCATAGGTTCAAATGCGATGGAAGCAAGCCGACTTGGCGCGCCAGCTTGACGCGTTCGAGTGGCGCGGTGGCACTTCGCGCGAGGACGCCGGCCAAGATGGCGGCAAACACATCTTGCAGGGAAAACAGCGACCGAAACGGCACGGGCGCGTCCGTCAAAGGGGTTGTCGACGAGGTTGAAGAGAATGGCGGCGGCAATGTCGACCCAGAATATGAAGCCATCTACAACCAACCAAAGACTCAGAGATGAGAAAAAACGCAGCCAGGGTTACATCAAACGCAGTGTGCTTCCACTGCTGCTCGAGAAGGGTCAGGTCGGCATGCAGGGTGCGGAGGAGGGCTGCGATCGCCGGTGGCGCCGCGGACGGATCATGGCGCCACGCTCGACTGGCCACGACACAGTCGTGGTATGTGATGGTGTCGGTGGCGCTGGACTTTTGAAAGAACCGGTGGATTTGCCTTGTCCTATCATATGCGACAGCGTTTAGAACGTGCAAGACACTGGATGATCGTACTCGGCTGCGTCAAGGTGCAAGGATGCGGTCGTGAGGTGGTTATCATGATGGGTACCAGCACGACGAAGGAGCGCCTACATCATATATATATGAGTCCCAAGCGTAACTTCACAAAGGATGAATCAACTCGATAGAGGGCTTCGGCCAGGAGCGGGTTGAACTGCCGACTCGAATACGCCTCCAAGCACATGTGAAAGTGCGCAAATTGCGAAAAGTTGATCTTGGTCGTTGCGGACGATGGGAACAGAAGGGTCTGTGCCGTCTCGACGCCCGAGTCGCCTTCAAGCAGCTTGGCCACATCCGTCGGGGTCAGGAAGCTCTCGTCGCCATCATGCAGCGTCGCCGTCTTGTTGAAAATGTCCAGCAGCGCCGTCGATCCACTGCGCGTTGTGGACAGCAATATGCTGCGATCCTACCCATCCATCATCCCATGTGTATTACTATATACCAAGTATGGTTCAAACTAAGTGTACTATCGATGGGAATTCGACTATATTCTCCGATATTATATATATATATATATAGGGAGATGTTATCGTACCATACACCAAATCTTGCTGTCTTCGACGGCGCGCACACTGGCGCCGCGTCGGCTGTTGTACAGCAGCGCCACTTCCCCAAACGCATCTCCTCGGCCCACCACTCGATCTAGAAACTCGTCGCCATCTACTAGAGAACCAACACAGAAATACAAATATTATTACATGACAAACTATCATATCATGAAGAAACGGAATATAAAATATTATATTATTCCATGACAAACTATCATATAAAGATGATATATGTTCATATTGTACCAGTGTGGTGGCGGGAGACGGCACACGCGCCGGTCTCGACCACGTAAAAGTAGTCGCCAAACTGGCCTTGCTCCAACACAAGTGCGTCTTTTGGAAAGTGCAGCGAAAAGCACTGCCGCACCTATAGGTAGGTGCACACCCACTCGTGAAAACCATACTGATGATTGAACTGGCACTCTGTTACCGCCGCGGCTTGGGCCTGTTTGCTGACGTGGGCAAACAGCGGATGGTTGGCCAGCGTTTGTATGAGAAACTGGCGTTCCGACAGCGACTGCGTGGCGGCGGGGTGGCTCTTGACTACACTCGCAAACGTGGCCTTGTCCAGGGCATATGCCACGACCGGCTCGGCGCACTTGACCGTGGCTCGCCGCGGGGTCTGGTACATGAGCGCCGAGTCGCCAAACGCGTTGCCGCGACCGTTGGTGGCTACGTGCACCTACACCAATATTGAATATGACAGCCGATATGATCGAAACAATATGAAACACGTACAAAATGGCTGGTTGGTTGGGGGTTATCAAACGACGTCGACAGGTTGCGGCGGAGGACGGGGGCAGCTGTGACCTCGGCGGCCACCGAGTGTTTGGGCTGCTCGTGGGCGTACGCGTCGTAGTTGACGAGCACGTCCACCGTGCCGTCTGCAATCACGTAGAAAAAGTCGCCGGGGTCGCCCTGGTAAAATACCACCTGCCCGGGTACAAATCTGCCACTTTGCTGGTGAATATGATTGTCAAGTAGTACTATTGTTCATTCGATTCGAAATTCGAGTGATATTTGGGTGCTCAATCGATATATCGACCAATCAAAACACAAAACACATGAATCAACTAGCCAATCAAATCCACACTCTTCGACTAATTCAACATCGAATTCGTGTGTGATTGAAATTAGTGTGATACTGTCCGATCTTGACATGCAAAAGTCAAACAATCGATATATCGATAGATTTGGCACAAAAGTCCAAATATTGGGTAAAAGGACTAGGATTTATTGGATGTACGCACCGTTTCGGTCGAAATTGCTGGGCTAGAGCTTGTAGCTCCGAGACCGAGAACGAATGGAAGATGGCGTGCCGCTGCAGCGTGTGCACGATGGTGTCGACAACGTCGGGCGGCGGGGGGCTGGCCGCCGTCGCGGCTTGCTCGATCAAGTGCTTTTTAGTCTCGTGGATGTGTTCTCTTAGGGAAATCTGAGGCAGCCATGCCGCGTCTACATGATACAAAATGGGTACGAATGTACAGTACGACAACTGTACTTTGCAGTTTGACGTAGTCGTCCGTGTCGGAAAAGTTATGGGGGCGATATGACGTGGCAGCAGGATACGGAAGCAAGAGCCCCACGTGCTGGTACAGCGCCGCCACGAGTTGGGAACAAAAGAAGCGCGCTGGGTCAGACGCGGACGAGGGCTTGTTTTCAAAGATGGACCTGTGGAGGAATGATAGTAAATAGAATGCGATGAAGTCAATATGGCAGGGAAACAAGTCGCACCGCTCCGTTTGGTCGAGCTGGTGGACGAGGGCGTCATGCTGTTCCCTTAAGCTGGCGAGTTCAGCGCGCAGGGAATTTTGCTCAAACGGTGACATCTTGGATCGATGGGTCAAGTCGTCTTGGATGGTTTTCATGTGCCGCTTCAAGTCCACCTAAGGGAGCGTGAGGTGGGGAGAAGTGAGCATTTGGCACGTGCAATGTCGTGGTAGAACTGTTCGCGAGCTACTCGAGACGGGACAAAGGACGCGCCGGCGTTGACGAGGACTAACGTCAGGTGACATGGTGAGTGGATGGAGGAGGAGGAGGGTGCGGGTACACCTTGGATGCGATCCTCGTACGGAATGTCTTGTTCGACGACGCGGCGGATAAAGTCGGCGGCGCGTTGGCGGAACTCGGGTGTGCGGTGGACTTCGACCTTTTGAATGCGCACTTCGTACGACCGACTGTGCAAGATGCGGTCGACGAGGGGCCGCAGCTTGACGCCGTTCATGGCGGCTTCGAGGAACATGAGCTTCCCTAGAGCAACACAACACCGCCGACTCAATCGGATGGATGGGTTGATCAACGGAGCTTGAGGTTGCCCACACCATCGTCGGTCTTGTAGATGACGCCATTGTGGTCCCACCGCGTCTGGCCAAATAGCTTGGCCGAGTGGCAGATCACGCCACCGTACACGCCCATGGAGTTGCACTTGCGGTCGAACAGCACGACGTCACCTGTGTCCAGGTTCATCTTGTCTAGAAGCTTCTCAAGCTCTGCCTTCTCGGCTGGCGTCGGCGGCGGCATGATTACACTTGTATGCAATCGACTCGACCCCACGAAGTCGTCACTCAAACCAAGGGGTGCATACGGATTATTATCCGGTTCACTACAACATTGGCATTTTGGTGACTCCAACACGTGCTGCGTGGAAGGCGGTGTCCGACACGTAGCCACAGCGAACTCCCCGAGCGCCCATGTGCCGTCGAGGATGGTGTGGTCCGTTGTGGAGATCGGTCCGGGGCGCACGCTGTCGATAATTGAGAACATTCAATTGAGCAGGCCGTCGCGAGTCCAGCTGAGGCCAGCCAAGTACCCCCACAGCGTATTGTTTATGAGCAGTCGGGCCGTGCTGACTGGTTTCTGGGGAGCGATGGACGCATGATGGTGGTGGCCAGTGGTGGTGGCTGGGGACAACGGCCGCGAAGACACGCACAATAACGCTAGGAATGAAAACCAAGCACGGCTAGCTACCCGGGAGGTTCAAGGATCGAATGGCCTGCTCAAGTTAGTATCCATTCGCGACCACTATGTTAAACACACCTAACTACATCATGATATGAGTCAGTCATGTAGTGGTTGTTTGATTTGTACTGGAGTCTACCTTAAAAGACACCGTGCTCGTACCATCTTCTCGAACCAAGCGTTCACTGAGCCTATTCAACGCGTACAGAGCCATCACGTTGATCTGTGTGATCGACTGTATAGTACAGTACATTGACCTTCCAGTCTGTGTCGGTGCACTGCAGCCCGTCGCGGACGACGTCGATGTTCCCGCGGCAATTTAGTGCGACATGACAGCTACGTGAGCTGCAAGCTACGGGGTGCCTACGTTATAACGAGCCGTGTAGAACGCAGTGTGGGCAAGCGCCAACCAATTCGCCAACCGACGCCACCTATCAGTTATCGACAAAGGATAAGGGAGGACAACTGCTGTGTACCGAAAGGACCTGGGGTACACGCGATTTGCTGAGGTGGTTAAGCACTGGAGATCATTTACTCCATCGTGACAAGTTGAGGTCGATGGGGTGGAACGAGTAAGCTGTGGGCAACGCTATTTGTCCCATGTATGTTGATTCTGCCGTGGAGATTCAGAGTTTGCCCCCTCCCAATTGCAAGACTCTATGGCCTGCGCCAACGAATTCGGCTACACTGTAGGTTTGGCTACTGTAAAGTTGGCTACACTTGGCTAAACTTGGCTACACTAAACCTCTATCGATGTTGCCCATACATTAGTCACCACCCGACGATGTTTGCCGATGCTGAGTGCGTCCTGCCGTGTCGTCCACTGGATGGAGCCTTCCATCATTTCCAACAAGTACTGCATGGTGGCTGCGCCAGTAGAGCTGTACAGTTAGGTCATGAATGGACGTTGTCATAGATATGGAGGGTAGTTGTTCAGGTGCCGAGTACAGACTGTTCTGTTTGTCCATGCATATAGCCGACCGTTAAGGTGGTCGGTCGGTCGTTTGGCGGTAGAAGGAATGCGTGAATGAACTTGATTGGTTACTTTGATTGTGTTTACGCTCTATAATTGGCTAAAATTCAACAACCAATTCGATTTTGGAATTATTCGAGAAACTTTGACCAAAGTCAGGAAGGTGAGCACCGAAGCTACGATGGAGCTGGAGTCGATGTATGACTCGGACATGTCGTCCACTCTCCAAGACCATGTGGAGGAACTATCTATGGAGGATTTAGATGACCATGCACATGACTTGAAGAGCACGCCATCAATGATATCGACGACAGCTCTGACCGCGTCCACGTCGCCAAAAATGGCGGACGGGAGCGACCAGTCATGGTTACGCCGTCTGGAGAGGGACATGGACACCAAGTTGCTCGTGGATGCAGAAAGGATCAACGAACGCATCCAGCGACGCAAGGCGCACGAGGAGGAGATGCAGCAATCCCTCGCCAGCTTTACGAATTCCGCGCGTGTGTCCGCTTCGTCGTCGTCCGCGGCCGCGCCAAGCGCGCACTCGTCCACAAAGTCCAGTTTCACATCGATGGCCAACGCCAATGCGTCGTCGTCCGACTCGACAGATGACGTCCTTCGTCAGGTGACCACCGCGCACCAACCTCCCCAAGGCGTCGACGAGTGGAAGGAAGCATTCACCGAAGACGGCAAGACGTACTACTACAATCGCCGGACACGTGAAACTTCGTGGACATGGTGAACGAGAAGTCAACTACTTGTGTCATATAAGTCTCATGCATATTCGTTCCATAGCCCCGAGAATGCCATTGTTGTCAATCGAAGTGCCACTGCCGCGCCGACGCCTGTCGACCACTCGATGGTCGGTACCTCCACAGACAGCGTTGCTACCCCCGCCACGACGACGACTACCACGACCACAGTGACCATGCACCAGTCGAAGAAGAGCATGTTTTGCATGTTTTGCGGTTTGGAGTGCCGCGTATGGGAGCTCATGCCTCACATGTCGTCGTGCGACCTGCTTCGAACCAACAAAGCGCAGCGCACGGCCATGTACGAAGAAGCCGTGGACATTGCAAGCGCGTTGTTAAACAAGCAGACGAGTGATGCCGACACGCAGACAACCGACCGGTATCTGCATTATGCGTCCTTGTACTCGCTCCATCATGACGGCCGCGACCAGAGGGGGAATGTATTGGATCCACTGGCCCTGCTCAAGCAACGCCGCCGCCATACCATGCAACCGACAACGACGTCGTCGAGTTCCACCCCCCGTCGCCATCAACGGGACGACGACGACGACCACGATGTGATGCACTTGAACATCGACGATGACACAAAGTTGAGTCTCCTGCGACTCAAGCGCTCGACGGAAGCAGCCCAATCCCGTCGTCAGGATGTGTCTGAACAGTGCCGATACTGCCATCGGAGCTTTGCCGAGGTAACGAACGAACGACCCCCCCTCCCCCCCTTGGAACACCCCCCTTGCATTGATCTAACTAGTATTTGCAACGACAGGGCCGATTAAGCAAGCACGAAGCCGTGTGTCCGCGGGTATTTGGCTCGGAAATGACATGGAACAACCACCAAGGCAAGAAGGACACTGCCAATAAGTCGTTGAAAGCCACGACCAATGCAACCCCGAAACCCCGACCCAAAGCACCGACGCCACCGCATCCAAAGTCGAGTTTAGCTGGGTCGTTCCACGAGCATCAGGCGACGCTTGTCACGTGTCCATGCTGCCAGCGAAAGTTTGCGCCGTCGGGGGCGCAGCAGCACATTGACATTTGCCAACACGTGGAGAACAAACCCAAGAAAATCACGGCCAAAGCATATGTAATGGCTGGATAAAACAGACGATATAAAAAAACCTAGTCAATGCAATAAATGCTATTTAAATTGCACTTATATATATACAGTATATATCCATGAAGTCAATAATGCAGAGATGCTATTTTGAAAGTGCATGTATATATTATTACTACGTACTTCTAGTATATACTTCAGTATATTAATATATATATATATATTGTTATTCAAGAAGGCGAACGATACATATGTATTGTTATTCAACAAGGCGAACGCCTCTATTATGGACGCAACCTAGTATATATATATATATATATTGTTATTCAAGAAGGCGAACGATACATATATATTGTTATTCAACAAGGCGAACGCCTCTATTATGGACGCAACCTAGTATATATATATATATATATTGTTATTCAAGAAGGCGAACGATATATACAGTATATATAAATTTATACTTCGAAGTATACTGTACTACTACGTAGTATATAATTTTATATATTAATATATATATATTGTTATTCAACAAGGCGAACGCCTCGATTATGGGCGCAACCCCGCCTGGGCCTTTTCGCGAATTTCTTTGCGGATCTTGGGGTAATCTGGGAATTTGTCGAGTACTTTCTGCGACACGTCAATCGCTTCCACAAATCGCTTGGCCTTGAGGTAGTTGAACGCGAGTTTGAACCCGATGGGCGCGGACGCCTCTCCGCCGCACTTCCACGCCTCATGGTAGCAGTCGGCCGCGTCTTGATATGACTGCTCCTTCTCCATGATCAGGCCCAGGAGTTCCCACGCCTTGCCCGAGCTCTTGTTGTGCTGGAGGGCCTTCTTGCACAGCTCTTGGGCCAAGTCGTACTTGGCTCGGTTCACGTAAATGTCTGCGAGAAGGATGTAGCTGCGCTCGAATTCGTCGGGGATGGCCGCGTCGTAGTTCATTTTTGCAATGCGTTTGAGTTGGTTTCGCGCTTTCGACTGCTGTTTTGCCAGCATGTATGCCGTGGCCAGCGCTACATAAAAAATATATAATAGAAGTAGTTCATTGGATGGATGGCTGTCGTTCATTTGGATGGATGGTTGTGAGACACACATACCGAGCAACGCCGGAACGTTGTCGCGGTCCTCCTCGAGCAGCTCGAGCAACGTGGCCGTGGCCTTCTCCACCATGGGTTTGGTCTTGGCCGACATCGCCGCGTAGCACTCGAGTACGCGGATGCGCACCGACTTGTCGGGGGACAGCTCGTCCAGCAATGCGTTGGCAATGCGCATGTTCTCCATTTGATCTTTGTTCGAGTCCTATCGTCCACGTCATATCGATACGACGCCGCGCGAGGGGGGCTTACATCGGGGTTGTCCCACAGGTTTTCGCTGTCGGGGTTGATGTAGATCTCAATCATGTGCACGAGCGCGCGCTGGCCCCACTCGCCGTCCTTTCGCGCAAAGTTGAACTCTTGGATAGCGTCGTGGATGTTGTTTTGAAAGCGGTTGTACAGCCCTTTGCAGTAGTGGAGTCCCGCCGAGTGCGCGACGCGGGGACCTGACCGGTCGGCCAGCTTGAGGAACCGCGGCGCCCGATCGAGTTTGCCCGCCTGTCGAAGCATCACGATGAACCGGCTAAGCACGGTAAAGTTGTCTGGTTTGCTCTCGAGGAGCTACGAACCAATCATGTCTAACGATATATAGTGTTGGTTTCGGGGTGTTTGGCGTACGTTTTGAAAGTGAAAGATGGCGGATTCGTTGTCATCTTTTTGCAGCATAACGTCGGCCAACATCATCGCAGCTTCTTCGTGCGCAGGATTTAGCCGCAACAAGGTCGAGCATTTGATCTGACATTGCTCCAAGTTTTGCTGCTGGCTGTAGATTCGCGCTAGACACAAGATCGCTTCTTCGTGCGATTCGTTGGCCCGCAGTGCCATGGTGCAGTACTTCATAACGTTTTCCCTGCTCATTTGTCAAACATGATATATATATTGTGGATTTTTTATTCTAACAAGCTATATATATTTGTCAAACATGGTATATATTGTGGTGTATTTATTCTAACAAACTATAAACTGGAGCGACATGGAGAATAATAATGAATCGACATATTGTGCATCTTCGCTATAAAGTGGTTGTTTGTCGAATCAATATTGAATCACACCGGAGTTCTGATTGGCTGAATATACTTGTCCTTTCTGTAAGAGCCAATCAAATCCACTCAAAAATGGATGAGCCAATAGCAGTCTATGCTTCGTGATTCGATTCGACGGGGTCTGGAAATTCGTTCCGAATATACCACAATACCCAAATAATGTAGTACAAAAGAATCATCGGCAGAAGGATTTAGCCAATCAGATTGCAGGAAACCAAAATCATCCACCTCCAATTAGTGTGTGACCTCAATTTGTGTGATATTACCAATCACCATTTTACATCCAAAACATTTTAGTAAATTCGATTTGGCGATATTTATCATCACAAAAGTCAACCAAATTTTGGGCATAACGTTAAAAGGTCAATATAACACTGCAATGTGAACATAACCACATGGGAAATGTCGTACGCGTCGTTTTGCTCTGCGTAAATCTGCGCCAGTTTGAAGTTGGTGTTAGCCAAGTGGTGGGTTTGGCGGTGGATTTCATCGGGCTGTTCGTCGCGAAGTTTGTCCAGAACGACTTTTTGCAGCGCAATCACCTTGAGCAACCGGGTCACGCACTCATCTTTTCGGTCGAGGCCGTTGTAAATGTCCGGTAGGATCAGCTGCAACTCGATGTCATCCAGCATGTCTTTGATTTCCGTGCGCGCTGGCGCCGCCGGCGCCGCATTCACCACACGCAGCGCCTGGTCAAAGTGCGACAGCTTGGTCAGCAGACTCGCTAGGTCCCGACGGAGCGGCGTCTGGTCGGGGGCAGCCCGCAGCGCCGTCTCGTAGTACTCGATGGCCGAAATGTAGTCGTGCTTCTTGACCAGGATGTGCCCGATGCGGCTGGCCAGCGACGCATCGTGGGGACTCAGCACCAGCGCCGACCGGTAGGATTCGATCGCGTCGTTCAGCTGTTGGATGCGCAGGTACGCCTCGGCTAGCCGCACGAGCGCGTCCGCCGTCGGGTTGAGGCGTACAAGTTCCTACACAAAAATCAGAGTCGAAATGAAAGCGATGGCTGGCTTTAGAGTGTGTACGACGTCGTCGTACCTTGTAGCACTCTGCATACAACTTTTTCTCGTTGCGATGCTGCAGGTAAATGTCAGCTTTGATCATTTGCGCTTTGATATACGCTGGCGATTCCTACAACCACACACCACATGTTGTGTATGATCACATACGAGACTATATATATATATATATATAGTTCATGTATATTGTGTGCATACGATATATATTATATATATATATATTGGTACAGATATATATTACCTGCGGCACGTTGTTGAGCATGATGATGGCATTGTCGAAATCGCCTCGTTTGATGGCCAATTCACTGTTGGCGACGAGAACCCGCACTTCCTGTGGTGTTCCCCTTTCCAAAAGTTACTATCTTATACTAGTATTACTAGATACAACTTACTTGAACACTTGCAGCGCTTCTTTCACCAGTCGGGTGGCTTCCCCGACGTTGTTGAGCTGGGCTTGTACCGTGGCCATTTGGATATAAATCGACGCCTTGTCGAACAACGTCATGTCGGCGGCGGCGGCGGCGGCGGGTCGTTTGCCTTTGGCCGCCGCTACAGTCACCGTGGGGGCTTTCATGGCATTTTGGAGGATCGCCAGCGCTTCCTTCAAATTGCCGTCGTTCTCCAAGAGTTTGGCCTTGATAATGTGAAACGATGGCGACTGGCGCACAGAAAAGTCGTGGCTGAGCGCTTGGTCCAAGCTCGTGGACGCCGCTTTGAAATGTTCGCGCTCCAAACTGATGCGCGCGACGAGCAAGTGCGCTTGAGCGTGCAGGGGGTTCATCTTTAGAATCAGATTGCAAACTCGGTATGCATCGTCAAACTCGTTGGCGCAAAATTTGGTGTTGGCCAGCACGACTTGGACTTCGATAAACCCAGGCGACTTGTTGACGAGCTTTTCCAAGATGGACACTCCGCGCGACGCCATGCTCTTGCCGTCGTCGATGCCATCCAACTTGATGTATTCGGTCGCGATTTCCACGAGGAACTGCGGGTTCAGGACGCTCATCATGTCGTACGTGGACACATCCCCCGTCTAGAACCTCCATATAATTCAAACAACCCCCCACGACACATTCGTCACTGCATGTACCTGCATGACGTCCTTCAGCTTGTCCATGTGACACTGCACTGCTTTCTGCAGAAACTTGACCTGCTTGGCGCGGTCGCCGTCCTTGTGCCAGCTCAACATGGCCTGCAGCAGCACAAAGTCCGCGCTGGCGTTACCAATGCTTTCTTGGATCACGCTGAGAAACTCCATCTGCTGCGCCGCGTCGTCTACTTGGCCCAGCTTGACTTGGCAGTAAATCAACCCGTGCAGCGCCGACTCGTTGCTTTCATCTAGCTTGAGCGCGTCCTTGTATGCCTCGATGGCTTCTGCAAAGTCGCCCATGAGTGACCGCTGGTACCCGCGCTCGGCGCGGAACGTTCTAAGTTGTTGGACGTATCAGTTAGTATATATTGCATCAATAAAAGTGTAGTTCAAACCCGTTCTCGGGCGACAACTTGATGGCTTGGTCGATAAAGCACAAGTTGCACGACAACACTTCGTGGTTGCGGTCGGAAATGCGCGCGATGCATCGGCCAATGTCGTAAAAGAGCTGCGGATTGGACGGTTCCGTCGACAACAGCGCCTTCATGAGCTCACTACACCCGTCCATCACTCATGCCCATAACAAAGCTATTGCGTTTCTTTTGATTCGTCGTACCGAATACGATTCGACGCTTCCTTGGGACGCCCTTCCCGTGTCAGTAAGTACAATATCAGCAACCGCAACGCGTCAATATCATCCCTGTAGACGTCACAACCCATGACGTGGCTTAATGAGGGGGGTATGTATTAGACGTACGAACTGTTGGCCAGGGCTCGCTCGGCGCTGTCCACACACTGGTCCCACTCGCCCGTCTTGAGTAGCACCAATGCCTTTTCACTCAAAGCTTCCTTGAACCATGTGTACTTGACAATGATCTAGCATTCACATTTCAAGGTAATAATACATCACGGAATAGATGACACTCTCGAGAGACACTGGACATACTTCATCGTAGCATTCCAAGGACTTGGGATACGCCCGCTTGATGTCAAAGTACTTGGCCACGCCCATGAGCTGCTCAGGGTCGTTGGCACTAGGAAGTATCAAGTAGAACGACGTCATGACGAATGATGCACAATACTCTATACGTATGATGATGCTATTGAGTTGCGGGCTGTACCTCTTGACGTCGGCAAAGAACGAGAGGCTATTGTCCCGGAGCTCCAAATCACGTTTGGTCTTTGGTTCGGCCGTCAAGTCGATCCATCCGCGCAGGATCGTGGCTTTCACTTGCACGGGGGTGGCGGCGGCAATGCGGCCGCCCATCAGATTTTCCAAGATCTTGCGCGCTTTGGGGTATTCTTTGATGTGCCAAAAGAAGTTTGCGCTCTAGAGATGTGTGTCAATAGGTACATCAATCGAGAAAGAGGTACCAAGAGCTGGGCCGTGTCACCGGCGCTTTCTTCGGCGATGACCACTTGCATCTCGAGTTGCGCGATTTCTTCGTGGTCCACGTTCTTGCACTTGTTGTGGGCATAAATGAGCGCATGAATGCAAGGGAGCTCCACTTCCTTCTTCTTCTTCAAGCTCTCAAGCTCGCGGATCGCAGACGAGTTGCTGCCTTCCATGACGATGCCGAAGCAACGCCAAAACGTAATCACCGGGTCGTTTCCTTTCTTGTCCAAGATCCCTTCGCACAAGCGCTGGACATGGTCGTACCATCCCTTGCGAATGTAGTAGTTGATGAGGACACGTGGTTCCATCGCGGTTGACGCCGTCGCTGGTGCGCTCATGTTTGTTTCTGGATCCAGAGGTTGTGAAAGGTCACAATGATCTGATGCGTTGGATTGGTTGATTATTATCCAATGGGATTTCGTTCTTGCAAACTTTTGAATTTGCCAAGTTCCTCGCAAACCAAAAACATCGACACGAACATGGCGTAGGAACGCTTTATGCATGTTAACCTGGAGAACTACATGCACCGGTATCAGCTTTTAGGAACCTTAGAACAAGAAGTACTTCTGCGCCAGAGGAAGCCATGTCGACGGGAGGCATGTCAGCACTTCCCCGTCCGCAGTCACTTGGTACGTCTCGGGGTCCACATCAATCTTGGGCAGCGCGTCGTTCCACTTCATGTGCTTCTTCGTCAAGTTCCTGCACTTGGTCACGGCTTCAACGCGTTTGCCAAGGCCGTATCCTTTGGCAATCTGCTTTTCCTTGCACGCGCGACTCACAAACGCAATCGACGTCGCCCCCACGGCGCCGCCTTGCGCGCCAAACATCGGTCGCATCTTCACGGGTTGGGGCGTCGGGATCGACGCGTTCGGGTCGCCCATCTGCGCGTACACAATCGTGCCGCCCTTGAGCACGAGCTCCGGCTTGGCGCCAAAGTGATCGGGCTGCCACAGCACCAGATCCGCCAGTTTCTTGGTCTCCACCGACCCAATCCAGTCCGCCATGCCGTGCGCAATGGCGGGGTTGATCGTGTACTTGGCAATGTATCGCTTCACACGAAAGTTGTCTGTGTCGTCAGCGTCCTCTGGAAGGAACCCTCGCTGCCGCTTCATCTTGTCGGCGGTTTGCCACGTCCTCGTGATCACTTCGCCGATTCGGCCCATCGCTTGCGAGTCGGACGAGATGATGCTACATATACCAATAGTTCCATCAACCACCACAAGTTGCATCATCTCTTGTACCTGATGGCACCAATGTCATGGAGAATGTCCTCGGCCGCAATCGTCTCTTCGCGAATGCGCGACTCGGCAAACGCCACATCTTCGGCAATGCTCTTATCCAAATGATGGCACACCATCTACTTACTGTACATCGTTATCCCATCACACGATTCTCCCGCTATCCTACTGCTAAACAAACACAAGGATGGCCCTACCAACATGTCGACGTGCTCTTCGATCGTGTTGACTGTAAACGGCCGCGTGGGGTTCGTACTCGACGGCAGCACATGCAGCTCGCCGCACACAGTGATAATGTCTGGGGCGTGGCCTCCCCCCGCGCCTTCGCTGTGATACGTGTGGATTGTGCGGTTGCCAAAGGCGGCGATCGTGTGCTCGACACAGCTCGACTCGTTGAGCGTATCCGTGTGGATAGTCACTTGAATGTCGTTGGCATCTGCCACGTCCAAGGCGACGCGGATCGACGCCGGCGTGGTGCCCCAGTCTTCATGCAGCTTGAGCCCGACCGCGCCGGCGTCCACGATGTCCTGCAGACCGACGGGGGACGCCGAGTTGCCCTTGCCCGTGAGCCCAATGTTCAACGGGAACGTGTCCGTGGCCTGCAGCATCCGCCTGACGTGGTCCGGGTGCGGCGTGCACGTGGTGGCTTTCGTGCCCGTCGCCGGCCCCGTGCCCCCGCCCACAAGGCTGGTCAAACCACTGGTGGCACCACAAACCGCCACGTCATCGCTCGCTTCCAATATGATGGAATGCTCGAGGTACCTACCTGGAAATCGCTTCGTCGCACAGCTGCGGGCAGATGAAGTGTACATGCGTGTCGACGCCGCCGGCCGTGACAACCAGCCCCTCGCCGGCGATCACCTCCGTGTTGACGCCCACAATCATGTTGTCGTGGACTCCGTCCATGACGTCGGGGTTGCCAGCTTTGCCGATCGCCCAGATCACCCCGTGTTTGATGCCAATGTCTGCCTTGTAAACCCCCGTGTAGTCGATGATCACTGCGTTCGTGATGACCGTGTCCAGCACTTGGAGAGCATTTCGACCCGTTGCCTGCCCCATGCCTTCCCGAAGCACCTTGCCGCCGCCAAACTTGCCTACCAACGAGTGATACCAAGTCTTTTGATACTATAGGGACGAGGCTTGAACAATGGATAGCAGTTAACGCACATTCGTCGCCGTACACGGTAAGGTCCTTCTCCACGTGCACGACCAACGCCGTGTCCCCCAGACGAATGCGGTCGCCGGTGGTCGGGCCATACGTCCTGGCGTACGTTTGGCGCGACATGATGCACGGCGGTGGATGGACCGAATCGACCGACGGCACGAGGGGGGTATGCAGAAACCCCTGGGCGACCAGCGCTGCCACAATGCTATCGACGGATTTCATGTCCACGACACCCGACGCAAGGTTGTTGCCGCCGGAGATGATGCGGTTCCCACGAATGGGCACAATCGACACAGTCTTGACGTCCCCTGGCTACAAGAACGACGTGTGATATAGTGGTGGTGATGAGTCCATGGGGAAGAGAAAGTACGTACTTCGAAACGGACGGCGGTGCCCGCGGGAATGTTCAGGCGGTGCCCATACGCCAGTCGCCGGTCCATGTCGAGGATCGGGTTGCTTTCAATTAAGTGGTAGTGACTGCCCACTTGAATCGGTCGGTCGCCCAAGTTCTTCACGACCAAGCGTTGAATGACCCGGCCAGCGTTGAGTTCAATGCCTTTTGCATCGTCCAATACCATGATTTGATCGTCATGACCTGTGAAGGGGGGGTCGGCAGGTCCAAATGAATCGAGCGCCGGGATGGGCAAAAACGAACCGTACAAGGCCAACGCCAAGTCCCCGTCGACGCGGCAGATGGGACTGTGCACCGTCACGAGCTTGGTACCATCGGGAAACGTTCCTTCCACTTGGACATCGTGCAACATGGCAGACACACCGTCCATGACTTGACGGATGCCCAGCATCGTCTTCCCCAACGACATGATTTCTGACACCGTCCGGCCGTCCCGGATGAGCTCCAAGCATTGCGATGCAATGAGCGCCACAGTTTCCACGTAGTTCAGCCGCAAGCTCCTCGCCAAGCGCTTCTGAGCGAGGGTGCCAGCTTGATGGAGCTGCAGGTGCTCCATTTCCCGAGGACTCAGCCGCATATCTATCTCCTCTCTGAAAATGCAAGTTGAAGCAAAATGTCATACCCGAATCTCTCGACGAAATCCATTGGGTCAAATGTTATGCTTTTTAGCCAATCACTACCACGTAAAACAACAGCCATTGATTAGCTATAATACAACAGTTCCAGCCAATGATATATCTATAATGTAATTAAATTCGGATTGGCTAAAATGTTGACCTAGCGCCACCAGCCATTTGGTGGGGACACCATTGGTCGGGACCAATTCCGATGCGTAATGCGATTCATTTCCTCATCTTGGTTCCTGAAGTGAAGAATGCCTTTCGAAAAGCCCGTCGTGATTGACTGCCGTGCCCACTTGGTGGGTCGCCTCGCGTCTTTGGTCGCCAAGGAACTCCTCCTCGGACAACACGTGGTGGCCGTGCGTTGCGAAGAACTCAACATCTCCGGCTCGCGTACGTAGACTCCTCTATATCGTCGTCGGCGGCGGCGGCCTTTGCATGTAGATTGGATTGGATGCGTCCGCGTAAACGAGACGCTTCCGTGTGCGGCGGCGCGCGACTCTCAAAGCCAATGTGTCTGCATGGACTCGTGTGTGTATGTGTGCGCACATATATATGCACACACTTGTCGAAGTCGCAACGGTCGTCGTCGCTCATGGTTGCGTCGAGTTTACTCGGCCACCAAATCCAAACATGCAAAAGTCGCTGTGTGCAGGCTTTCCCTCTGTTTTAGAACATGGATTGCCATGCCGCCTACACAACATGAGACACTGACGCTTTATGTGTCGTGTCGATACGGTTCTGAATGTAGTCGTGCGCAACAAGGTCAAGTTTTTGCAATTCTTGAACAAGAAGTCTTGCACGAACCCGAAGAAGGGCCCCCTCCATTACCGCGCTCCTTCGCGCATGTTCTGGCGCACGGTCCGTGGCATGTTGCCGCACAAGACCGCTCGCGGCGCCGCGGCCCTCCAACGCCTCAAGGTAAATAAGCCTGACTGGCTTCCTCCTCTCCATTGCTTTGCATACTCGTTGCTGACAAACTTGCTTGGATAGGTGTTTGACGGTGTGCCGTCCCCCTATGACAAGGTGAAGCGCCTGGTCGTCCCCGACGCGCTCCGTGTGCTTCGCCTGAAGGCCAACCGCCGCTACACCAACCTCGGCCAATTGTCGTCGCAAGTGGGCTGGCGCCATCACGACTTGGTCAAGCGCTTGGAAGCCAAGCGTTTGGTCCGCTCGGAAGCGTACTACAAGAAGAAGTTGGAGCAAAACAAGGTGGTTGCTGCTGCCACCGCCAAGGTGGAAGCCGAACACAAGGAACTCCGCCCGACTTTGGAAAAGTACGGCTTGACCCTCTAAGTTGGTGGTTGTACATGCCGCCGACTACTTCGAAAGGAACCAGCAACGACGTCAGTCTTCTGGGCACTAAATAGTAGCAGTAATAACAACTGTTGCCATTGAGAGGAACAATCGAGCTTTGGAGGTCTGCTGTCTGCGTCTGCTCATGATCGTAAAGAGACTTTAGTGCATAGCTGCAGTAGTTTCAGTATAAGTATGTAGGCATCCACGCCCTGCGTTCATAGGTACTACTAGTAGTAGTACAACATCTCAACTGCTATTACCGTAGTAGACTGCCTCTTGAGCCTGAAGATCTTGCGACGTGCAAAGTGACATGACTCGCATTCCATAGTTTGCCCAGAAATATATTACGAGATGTATAACGATTACATGTTATCAAACGCGCTAAACTTGTTGCCATCTTGCTGCTGTTGCTGTTGGGCTGGGTATGCAATTTGAAACGGGGCCTGGGGATAGCCTCCGCCGGTTGCTGGCGTCGAGTTGAACCCGCCGGGGTGATTGTATTGCTGCTGGCCATATTGTTGCCCTTGGTTGATCGAAGGAGGAGGCGCCACGTTGAATTGATTGTACGCTGGCTGTGGCATGTACTGAGTCGGCTGTGACGCGAATCGTTGCTGCTGCTGCTGGGGGTACCCCCCCCCCTGTTGGCCGTACGGGCTCGCGGCAGGTGGCGGCGGTGCCATCGAAAACGACGACGAAGGCGCTGCAAACGATTGGCTGACTGGGGGAGGGTTGAAGGTCGCGGGGACAGCAGTGCCCATGTTCATGCCAGAGAACAAGTTGGCCGGAGGCGGCGTCGCAGTGGGCAACGGCGTGGAAAGGAGCGAGTTGTCGTAGGCGTTGGACGAAGGCTGTTGCACCTACAGAGCACTTGAAATTAAACCAAAAAGCATGAAGTATGTACAGTCCTACCGGCAAGTCGAGCAGCTCGGTCGATGTTTTGGCGTCGCGGTTGGCCTTTTTGGCCTTTCGACGCGCGGCGTAGCTGTCACTGGACGAGTTGCTCGTGTCAGTGCGTTGCGGAGACCCCGACGAGTTGGACGGGAGCAGGAACGGATCCGACGACGTGCGCGGCGGCTGCGAGTTGGTGCTACTTCGATCGGAATACGCCGCCGGACGCCGATCCGAGTACGGCTGGGGCGGTTCAGCCGGCTTTTCCGGCTCCTTCTTGACCACATACTCTTCCTGGAGCATTTTATTCACCGACGACAAGCCCGACTGGCGCTCTTTCGCCGCTTCTAACGCACGCGCTTGGTCTTGGAACCCCGACGTCGCCAGGCTACACACCAAAGAACAACCTTAATCAACATAACATACATTCAGATGTATTCGTACCTTTGAGTAGCCAAGCCGCCCTCGGCCATCAGCGACTTTTCCCGCTCGCCAATGATCTCCTTGAGCATGGCATTGACGCGTTCGCAGACCATGTCAAATTGCGCGCCATTCAAGCTCTTCTCCCATAGGAGCGGCGCCACGGCCGGCAAGATGAGCTTGGCCATGTACTCTGGGCCGAGGTGTTTGCCCAGGTTGTCATAGCAGCCCAAAATGCACATGCACACGGCGGGAGTTTTATCCTTGACGAGGCACTCAGACAGGCACGGGAGCACCGAGTCGATGAGCAAGTCCTTGTCAAACACATGAAACGACTTGGCGAGCCACAAAAGTGCGTTCACGCGCACAGACAGCTGCGGCGGGTCCAGAATCAGCCGTGTGACCCGAGGAAGGATCACTTGCTTGAGGATGCGGTACTCGAACAAGCTGGCCTGGTCCACGATCTTATTGAGCACCGTGTCGAGGATCTCGGGCACCGTCGAGTCGAGCGACCGACACAGCATGGGCACGATGTGGTCGCGGATGTACCCGTCGTCCGCCTTGGGGATGAGCGTCTCGAGGTTGGATACAAACATGAGCATGCATTGGACGGGCTCGGTGATCTGGAGCAGCGGCACCAGCATGGGCGCGATGCTGCGGGCGAATGTCGACTTGTCCACCATGGACACGACCTTGAGCAGCGGCGTGATGACGAACGGGGCTACGGGGGGATTGATTACCACGCTTTGGAGACCGGGAAGGACCATGTCGCGGAGTACCCGCGGCGAAAATCCCGTCAAGATGTCCGGCAGCGACTGCAGAAACTTGGCCTGGGACGCCGGGTCCTGCTCCACGAGCGTCTGCAGCGTCCGCAGTGTCTTGACGAGCCCCGAATCAAAGAACGGCGACGACAGGAACGCCCGCGCCTCCGGTCGCCCCGACGGCGTGAGCTGCAGCAGCGTCCGGATCGTGTTGTGCAGCGTCACGGGCACCAGCGAGTTGAATGTCATGGGGTGCAGAGACTGCGTCTTGTACCCGTGGGTCATGACCTTGCCTTCGAGCTGTCCGAGCGCGGGTTCATGAGTGCCGTCGGGCTTGGGCGGGGAGAACAGCTCCAACACGAGAAGACCGAGGGAGAACATGTCTGCGCTCGAGTTGAACGACCGGGGTTCGGTGATGAGTTCCGGCGCGCAGTACTCGAGCTGCGGCTCGTAGTTGCCAAACGCCATGCCCTTCTTGAGCGGCTCGACCCCGCCCGCGGCGTAGTACTCGCTGCGCGACGTCTGGCCGGGCTCCACGACGCGGCAAAATCCAAACCCGCCGAGCTTCCATTCCCCCTTGGGCGTGATGAAAATGGACGACGGCGTCAAGTTCAAGTGGACGCGGCGGCCTTCGCGATGCAGGAACGACAGCGACTCGCCAACGTGCATGAGCCCGCATGCGATTTCGAACTCGGACAACCCGATCTCGAGCACTTCGGGGGTGACGTTGGCGACGTTGGCAAAGTTCTTGCACGCGTTTGCGAGGGAGCACGTGACCCGCTCCGTCACGAACGACAGCGTCTTGCGGGTTTCTTCAAACACTTCCTCGATCTTGAGGATCTGGGGATGCCGCAGCACGCGCAACGTCTTCATATCCTGACGAAGGACGTCCAGCACGCGATCCTTGTTCTGCACTTTGTCCAGGTCCTTCTTGTCAAACACAAACACGCTCACTTCCACGCCCGTCTTGCGCGACACGGCAGGGTAAATCTTCCACAGCAGTTCGTGGCCGCCGCTGGCGGTGCTGTCCCGCGGCATTTCATAGCCCTTTTCATACTCTTCTCCTAACACGGCTTGGGACACCACCCCCGACACGGACGCGCCGACATCGTACGCTGCCGTCGCCACCGCGCTCTTGAAACGATTCAACATCCGTCGTCGTCCAGATGACTTTCTTCGTAGGTTGGCAGAAAGAAACCTGGTTGAAAGCTCTAATTAGGTAGCGAAAATAGGCAAAATTCGGTGGAATTTCTTTATTTTTACACCTGTTGCTGTGCGTGCAGGATCACCACAAATACGAGGTAACTACTACTACATACAGTATTAATAGTATTAATATATATATACTGTATTAATAGTACTTCGAAGTACAGATTTCAGTTAATTGGTATTGACAGGTGTGAGTGTTTTTCCTCCGAGCAATCACCGGACCTTCGAAATTTCATATAAAACTAAGTTGAAGAGGTATCTTTGTGACTGCAATACTACAATCAATCTTTTTAGCCAATCAAATCGCAACTCCCCTCATTCTTTGTAGCCAATCATACTCCTTTGCTCGATTAGTTGGCGATTTCATCAATCCCCTAAAATAGGTAAATTTGACTGAAAAGCACAAATAAATAGTACTTGAACTACTAAAAAAACCGTATACCCCTCGCTTCAGTACCTATGATTTCTCCGGTTGGACCTGTACTGGTTTGGAACATACTATTACTAGTACTAGTAATAGTATCGGCCAATGACGAATATTTTCATGGTTGTTCGGGTTGGGTGTGTACCTACCGGTAGTTGTACCTAATTGGACAAAAATATCCAATTACCATGCGTTGATTATTTGCATCCAATGAAATTTAGACCAATGCACATGCCTGTGAATATTCAAGGTTTTTGATCAGATTTTCACTGACATTTTCATAGGACTGAAGCTGGGGGTGCAGTACAGTAATTTTTTTAGTTAGTTGGTGCCAATAGTGCTACAGTACTATTAATATTACAAATACGGTGCATTAGACGCGTAAAATGACCAGACTCACATCACATTCCACGACGTCAATACACTCGATGGAAACGTCCTGAGAGCACACAGTAGCTACTGCATATATACATTTATATGTCGCACTTGTTGGACAAGTACTACGTCATGATAAAAAATGACTACCCTATTTGTCGTTGATCTGCACAATGAAATATAAAACGTGGATATATAATATTACATAGTCTAATAATATTTGTGAAAACAAGTACTAGTAGTACTGTACAGTACTTCGAAGTATACACAGGCAATGTTTACTATTAATATAATGCAGCATTATTGTTGTTCGCCGATTTTCTTGCTCATAGCTGAATCGTTGGCAATCTTTGGATATTGTGGCATCTGAAACAAAGCTACCAGTAGCAACTCGCAACTCGGATACTGTAGTTACGTTTGTCTTGCCGCGAGAAGCTCACAACCAGCCACAGGAATGACTATGATAATCCGCAAGCGAGGCAGCGGCAGGCATCACTGAACATCGCGTCGATGAACAACATGAGACAGAAGGTGGAGTTACTAACGTTAAATCTACTACTGTATACTGCCTTATGCTACTACAGCATCGTCCACGTAATTGCATTCGCCGTTAAAATTCCTCTTTACACGTTAGTCCCTTGCGAACAATTAAATCCTTCGTCGGCGAGTCGGACGAGGGCCTTCCCGACGTTCTTGGAGCAGTACGTGGTCACTTCCTCGTCGCTGAGGCTCCAGCTTCGTAGCACTGCGACGACTTCTTCGTCCGATTACGATCTGCTCGTTCCCTCAAGAGCCCTCACACCTCGTCGCGGGGGCTCGCACGGAGGTGACCCCTTCGCTCGTGGGGGGGAGTCTCACTCCTCTTCCAGTGCCGGCGAAAGTGTCGGCAGTGTTGTTTCTTTCTTGACCTTGCTTGGGCGTGTTGATGTGAGCAGGACAGCAACAATAAACGAAATTGCAGTTTGATGTCTGGCTAACTGCAAACTTCTGGGACAAGTGGAATGAATACGCGTCTCGCCTCTCGTCATCGCATTGCAACTACGGATATACAGTGCATATACTACAAAGATGGTGTGGTTGACATGCCTCCAGCAAACACAAGAGTGAGCAATGTCATCACAGAATGCATCTGTCGTTGCGGGGGCACGGTGACTGCACCACCCTCAATCAATGTCCTAACGTTAATATAACATTTCTATGGTAGACTACTCAGGCCGCAGCACCCCCCTCTCTTCATCAGTGACGTGCGTACAGTACTGCCGTATTTGTCGTACTTTGAACATTATGGAATTTGAACAATTTATTTATGTTAGTCTGTCTTTTCGCCCAAGTGCCAACATGACTAACATTGAAGTTGAGAATTAAAGACGCTTCTTGCCGTCAATGCAATATATGCAATGATCAATTAATACAAGTGTAATATCGCTGCAACTAGGACACCACAGACGATGCCAAGCGATGACGTGTGGACCTGCATGGCTATGCTCTTCGTAGGTGTTGGCGTCGGGGTAGATGGTGGTGGGGTGGTACTGCTTGTCTGAGCTGGAGCAGTACTTGTCGTAGTTGGGGCGTCCGTGGGGGGAATTTGCAGAGGGGATGGGGTCACAGTCGTTGTCGTCGGCACAGGGTCGTCACATGCTGCGCCGCGGAAGTTTGCATTGCACGTGCACGTTCCATCCTACGAGTCACACATGAGTTCAAGCCAAGAGTCGACTAGGGAACTTACCTCGTTGCAGACACCAGAGTTAGAACAAGGGATCAAAGAGGATCCTGTAGGGCATTGAGGGGTGGTGCAGTCTGAACCACCAAAGCCGTCTTTGCACGCACACACGCCATTGTCACAACCAACCGAGCAAGTAGGACCTGACGCCCCACAGCGGCAGATACATTCTGGGGCTTGCGAAGTGACATTGTACACACAAACACTTGTGTTGCTTGCACAAGTGAAGGGGCACGCCATGGTCTCGACGTTGGTGACGTTGGCTCGTTTGATCGGGAAGTAGGACGTGTTAGCCAACGCTTCAAAGCAGATTTGGTCTGGGGGAGACGGGAGGAATGTCTGCAAGTGCAGGGGGCTGAACATGCCGTCTTTGTACGTGGCCACGTCGACCGTGTCGAAGAGGACGTCCCACGAATGCACGTTGGGCGACAGGGGGAGACAGAGGTCGACGGCGTCCACTTGGCCAGCCGTGACTACATACACCTGGCCAGGCCCGAGGAGCTGCCCGTAGACCAAGCCATTCGTGGTTGTGACCACGAGGGGGTTCAATTCGGACGAGTTGCACTTGGGTGTCAACGGAAACAGCACAAAGGATGCTAGTCACATGGATGACTATGTCAGCGTCACAGTAGACTCTCCGAAGAGATAGAGGAGTCTCACCTAGGGGGAACGTTGACCATTCGATGGTTGCAGTCTCCGCGCTGTCGGTCAACCGTCGGCGTGCCGGCGACGTCGATGCAGGGCATGTAGTGGAGACTTGAGCTGTAGAGAACCCAGTCGTGGCAGTGTAGGCCAAACCGCAAAACACACTGGTCTGTGCCACCAATGCTCCTTTGGGCTGCGTCTTAAAGCACGACGACGACGCCCCCACTCCACACGCACAAGCCAATGTCGCCAACACTTCAGACATGGAATTGTACCTGTGGATCAACGATGTCACAAGCGGTCCCAGTAACGCATACAACGCTGTAATAGAGGCAAGTGAGAACTTACAGTACGAGCGCCTTTTGGCCTTGGAGAGTGGCAAATCGTCGAACCATCGGCCGCACCAACGCTGCCGATAACTTTTCATCCGAGATCGTTTGCTTCCATCTACAAATTCCCCACATTCAACGCGATCATTCGTACAAGGAAGACATGGAACTGCCAATCGTACTCGTTCACGGCCATGAGCTTGGTGCCGTTCGAGTTCCACGAATATGTTTCGACACGAGGACTTCTCCATTGACCAGGCCACCACGAAAACAGCGACGCGATTTTCCCGTTGCATTTCGAGCACTCGGTGGAATTTTTCTTGGAAGTGGCGCCTGTGACGGGGTCACGGCAGGCTTTGGTGCTGAGGCATTGCGCTTGGGTGGTCGCGCGAGTGTACCACGCACCCCCCTTAGTCGTGCATGTGGCGCTGTCCGATACACCATACACACGACAGCCCATGGGGTGGGCCCTACACATTCACTTCGTTGAGGGGGGGGGAGATTGAAAAAACGGAAGGATTACTTTTCGACAGGGCACGGCGTCAACGATGTCACAGGGGCAACGCAAACGCCGTTGATGCGGTTGCAATTGTTGCACGCTTTGGTTTGGATGGTCGACGACACGTTGGACACGACAAACGCAAAGCATGTGTCACCGTAGGTCCAGCCGGCGTCTAGGCATTGCTGCCGCATGTTGTCAAAGTCGTCGCATTTGCCTTGGGCCAGACATAGCGAGCGAGTGGGACAGGGCTGGGCGGCCCACAGGCACTTCAAGGTGGACGCGTACGGGTCGGTGGTGTTGCTGCACGTAGAAGTGGATGTGTACTGGGAGCAAGTCCGCCACGAGGTTGACGTGAGAATCGAGCAAGCCGTGGAGGTCGTGGCATCCGCTACCAAACACTACTCCGAGTTAGTACATCAATTGTTGAAAAGGTGCATAATTCATACGGGGGTAGAAGCGGCATTCACACTGGTGCAGTAGGTCGCGTCCGAGCTAAAGCATCCGCCGAGGCTTTGCTGGGCGAACGGTTGTGTCTGCGTCGTGCACATGTTGCATTGACTGTCACACGACCCAAACGATGTGTTGAGGCACTGGGCAGAACTCCACCCGTCGTTGCTGGGGCTGCCGATACATCCGCCTTGGTCGCACTGGGCTTGGGTGGTAAACGCCCCCGGAAAGTAAGATTTCGTGGCATTCAAGTACACCCCGCCCTCCGTGGTACAGGACGCCAGCGTCTTGATGGTATTGCGACGACCGACGCAAATGCCAGAACCGTTGCCGTGGGTAGTATCCCACATGTACTTTGTGTTTGCGGTACACGAGGCTTTGGAAAGCGATGGCAAGTAGCACCCGAACAGACACCGAGTGATGCGGCGAGGGTACAGAGGCACGACGGTGTAGAAACTGGTAAAGTTGGTCACACTCGGGCACAAGTCGGGTCGAACAAAGCAGTCGGATGCAGCTACGTTGGAGCCAGATACGGCCAGGCATTGCTTGGACGCAGCGCTCCACGTCCCGCCAGCGGTGGTGCAATCTGAAGCCGTGGACACTTCAATCAAACACGTGGGCGGTTGGGTCACGCTGATGCAGTTTTGGCCCGTGCATTTCGAGCAAAACGGAGTCGAGTCGTTGCAATTGCCGTTGGGAAGGCGTAGGTTGTTGCACGATTTCTTGGAAAGGCACGCCGTCTGATTGGCGGACGACGTTTGGATGCCGCAACACTCGGCCAACGCGCTCTTGGTCTGACAAGCCGTGCAGCTTGACTCGAACGACGTGACGCAAGCCCCCACACATGTGGCCACATCCCAGCCAGTGATGGCCGTTTGGCAGGCCAGTTGATTCACGCCGGCATTTTGGATGGTGATGATGCGTCCAAAGCAGCAACTGCCGGTACTGTCGTCCACCATGAACCACGTTCCGTTGTTGGCGGCACAGCACAGCGGGTCCCGCAGCTGATATGCCAGCGCAGGGGCATTGGGCAATTGGTATGTGCACACTGCAGTTGTGGTTTGGTTGCCAGCGTAAAAGTATGCGTCCTATATAACGATCAGTTGTTGGGATAACGTTAGAGTTAGCGGTGTGTAGTTACCGGAGGACAACAGCGGCCGATGCCTGTAGCATCCGCGTACCAGCGTCCGTTGGCGACTTTGCAACCTCCTGCTGTCAATGGCAATTGACATTGGGCGACGCATTGACTTTCGTCTTTGCACCCACTTTGGATCGTGTCAAACGTGCACTGGTAGGTTTGGCAGGTGCCGGTGGCGTCGTAGCCAGAACACACACGGCGGCCTCCGTTGCCGGTACAAGTGGCTGCCACCCCAAAGTCGAGCAGGGGGTTGTTCAGACCATCCCGAAGGAACCACTGGTAGTCCTTGTCTTCGCACATGTTGGCGACTTGACACGTAGAGTTGCACACGAACAACGACGAGGTCTTGCCAATGTCGGAGGACGTGGCCATGGGACCTACATATAATATCACATGAATACTCTAACTAGACGAGGTAGATGGTTCAAAACATAGAGATACCCGTGCACCCCATGTCGGCTGTGTATCGAGTAAACGCATTTGCCAGGTCTTGGGATGTGTTGACCCCGGTCAAGTTCCAGTCCTCTTTGAGATACCGCAACAAGAGTGGATCCATGGATTCTGTGATGCATTCCACCGTGCAGTCAATTATGTTGTTCCACGGCACAGTGCACTTCCCCGCCAGCGTTGTGGGGTCGATTTGGCACTGGCTGTATTGACACGCCGTGCAGTCGTTGTCTGATTGACATGACGTGGCGGACGCGTTGAGCAGGGCGGTTTGGCAGTCGCGCTGCAGGCTCTCGACGGTCCCGTGGACGTCGCTTTGCAGGGCCAGCGCATTCAACGAGTTCACGGCCGCTTGGACGCTAGTGAGGCCGACGTACGCCCCGTTCAGAAACGACAGCATCGAGTCGGCATTCAGTGGGCAGTTGGCTCGGACCACGTCCTTCTGGATGCCAGAGAGCACCGGAATCGCTCCGTCGGGCACGTTCTGGGGCATGCAGCACATAAAGTCGGCCAAGGCGCTGTTGCAGCACGGGTTCGCCAGCCACATGGGGTTTCTACAAAATGAAATATAAGTCGCGGCAGTGATGGGTAAATTCTCGGCTCTACATGGACGAATTGGACAAGAACTGGCGCACGCCGCAGTAGTTGGCCACGTTTTTGAGCACTTTGGACTGCATGCCCGTGGCCACGGCTGCCCAAAAGAGGCTCAATGTGTCGCTAAACACTTTGGTGGACGCGGCCATGGCAACATGCAGAAAGCCCTGCATTGTGTCGACGGTGGTTGTGGCGGACGAGATTTTCTGGATGTTTGCGACGACACTGGTGGAGGTCTGTTGAATCGACACTGCGTCCAACGTGAGGTTCTTGGGGGAGAGGGGGACATAGCGGCACTTGTCCACGGGATACTTGCAAGTTGTGTCTGAATCGGCACACGTATTCTAGACAAGGATAGGTCAGAGCCAAAAGTGTTGACAACACAACATACATCGAAGAGTCGTGACTTCAATTGGATTCGACCCAGTCCTTTCTTGATGGCATTTTCGACGTTGAGGCACTAGCCGTGTTGTGAGTATCACTAACACGTGGAAGTTGCAACTTACGTTGGATCCAGAACACACTGTCGTGGGGTAGTCGGTGGTGACTCCGGTGGCATCATCCTTGACCGATCGGCCAAGGAGATGTGCAAACTGCAGAATTCCGTTGACGGGGGTAGTGTCGGCGGTCAGCAGTTCGGGCGAAAGCGAGGCAAAGTCCGAAATCGTCGTGTCGTCCGTGTTGATGGCCATGAATTTCAACCGCAACCTGATCGGGTAATAGTGAATAAGGTGTCAAAATAGGTTTCAGACGTACAATGTGGCCTTCACCGCCCATTGCAGCGGGTTCTTCGTCGGAGGCAACGCAATAAGTCCCACATTATACGAGTACGTAGCGCAATCGATGTTGATGGTTGTGCCGTTGGGGAATATCGCCAAGCGACCAAGGGGGTTCGGAATAGCCAGGAGATCGCCGTTCTATCGGCCAAATATAACGTGAAAAGAATGAACGTGTATCATGAGTGGACATACCACCAAGATGTTGGGATTCACGTAGGGAAAGTAGTCGCTCAAGCGCAGGTCCCGCAACGAGTACTACATGTGTTGTTTTATGAGCCAAGTAGTCGAAGAGTTGACTAACTCAACTAACATACCAATTTGGAGGGTCGGTTGCCATACAAGGCACTCAGAGCGGCCGACGCATTCGCTGTCAACGTCGCTTTCGTAGAGCTCGAGAGAAAGTCGAGGGGGTTCGAGAAATAAAACTTGGGGGTGGTGTCCGTTCGAATGCCCATGGCGTCGACAAACTTGCACGTGAATATGGCAAACTAGACCAACAATACCGTCAAAGACACTTCAAATGTGTGACATTTTTGTTTACCTTGAGGGCAAACAGTTGCGGAAGGTTGATTGTAACGTTGCGGATGCTGTACTCGCAAGCCGAAGCAATAGTCGGCACAGTGTTGGCTCGGGTCTGATTGACGTAGCTATCGCAACCGGGGTCGCGAAGCGTAGCTACCAATGAGAGTTACGGATTCCGGACGAGTTTGCAACGGCCTACCATTGGCTGCAATGGCAGCACAGTAGTTGGCAGCATAATTGTCCGAGGCCAACGCTGTTGCCGGTGTGGTGGACACTGGATTGAACAACGAGGAGCTGCACGGAGTTAGCACGTCTTTGATCAAATTGTAGCAAAACGGACACATGGACGCAGGGTTGACACCGTCAACTTTGTATCCTGTTGCGTGGATGCACCGCTTGCACGGCGTGCCTTGCTGGTAGCATTCCCAACGAGGGGCCGTGCGACAGGTGGCGTCACATCCCCCCGACGCTGTGAGATTGCCTTCGTCGCACGACTCCATCCATGACACGAACCCATCGCCACAAGTACTCAGATCATTTTGACACCCCTACGTAAAAATCAAGTCATCATCAGTGTCAGTGCCTCGTAACATCCCATTCAACTTACAGTTTGCCAAGGGTTGGCGTTGCAAAAGGCAAAGGACGTTTGCACACACGTGGCGAGGTTGTCTCCCAACTGCGGCACAATGGCGTTGCAGCTAGCCTTGGCGTCCGTAAGCG